AAAAAATTTAACAAGAAACTAGAAACTGGTCGAATATATCATCGCTGCCCATACCCACTGTACACTGAAAGGCACCGAAATTCCAATGGCCCGAAATAAAATAAATACTATGCCAGTCACTAAAGTTGCGATTTTTAGCTCATTTTGGTGATCGATCAACGTAGTTCAGATTAATCAAATGAACTACGTAATTTCGTTCATTCTCATTCACGAAACGGAAAGTTTTTTCGCAACAAAATTATGCATCGGTACGTTTTTGAAGAAAAAGACCGTCAAAACGGTGAAAGTTGGTTGTTCAGAGTTGCGCACGAAGTAAATACACGAAGGAGATGACGAACACTCAAAAAATGAACTGGTGCAAATAACTCTAGGTGCTCCTTCTAAGCTGTCGAAAATTCGAATCAACAACAACCAACCCACAAAATTGGTGTGAAGGCCTCTATTGAATTAAATTTGGGGGTACGGTTTAGTTATTTGCCCACTGATTTCGGGTTATTGTATCCAAATGCTTGATCCGATCCAAAAAAAATTAACTCACACGTGCAGTCAGAGAACTGAAGTTTGATTTAAAACAAAACTTTCAAATTTCCGAGTACTAATTTAAAAAATTCGGTTGGAAATATGCACTTTTTTGGAAAATGGGTGGGATTTAAGGTGCCCCCTCCGCCCACCACGAAAACAGTATGCAAGTTACAAAATATTTCCCAATTTAGGTATAGAAGCAGGGCCGAAAAAATAGTACACTTTAGTTCATTTCAATTTCGAACTAATTCGTTCATTCTTTTCAATGAACTAATTCAATGAACGAACTACCCAACTCTACCAGGCACACATATTTTTCTAGGTCTATGCACGAGCTTCTCCTTCAATTTGTGTTGTGCGTATTGATGTTGTTACCAAAAATGGAGGGACCTACAGATTTACGCCGCCTCCGAACGGCAGTGGGATTCTATGAGAAGCTTTTTTTTACAACAGAAATAACGGACTAGTGATCGAACCCAGGTCATGAGTAGTGGCAGGACGCCACAGCGGCCACCAACAACGCTATTCAGAAGCTGAATCTATTCTGACATGGTTGCTTTCATCTGTAGGGAAGGCAGTGACTAAATCTGACTTTATCTGACTACGTGCGTAATCAAAATTGCCTCGCAAATTTATTTCTTCAAGAAAAATTAGTTGTGTTTAATGAGACCGAAAAAAGTGCAGAGCAGGTCTAGTTAGAGCAGAATCGAGCAGCTGTCAAAAAAAAAAAAAACAATAGAGCAAGTTAGAGCAACTCAGATCAGAAATCTCATGAAACACTTTTGGTGCAGAAATTCCCAAAAAAGTTGCTTGCTCTAAGTTACGCCATCAAAAAAGCTGGGGTTGGAGGAAGTCGTGCTCTAAGTTGCTCCAGTTCCACTTAGCACAAGCTCATGAAACAAAAAGTAGATTAACACATTTTTGTGTCATATCTTATAACCTGGCGTAACCTAGAGTAGCTCATTAAACACCAACTATTATAGCAAAAGCAAAGTGTTTTTTAAAGCAACAGAAATAAAGAAAAATATTTCTTGTGATTGCCAAAGACGTAGATCAAGGCGCAAATTAAAAAAAAACCTATCTCTCTTTTAATTTATTTGAATCATCGAAAACGAAATGCCATGAACGACCCTACATTATTTTAATTAGAAACTCAGTTTCTGGCCTAAATTCACCAGAAGCGCACTACGACAGTTCGCTAGTTGCAAATGTAAATGGTGGTGGTGGTATTGCCAACATCTGCAGATAACTGTACCAACTGCAATTTCATGTTCACGTGTGTGTGTGTGTGTGCGACGTGTAAATACTCCGCCGTGTCTCGGGCGTGTCATGTCAAAGATGTTTCCTGACAAAAGTTTGCTCGTTAATTGTCTTGAAAGTCTATGTAAGTGTGTGTGTGTTTGTGTGTGCAAATGACTATTTGGCTGTGTGTTTCAAGTCGAGACAAACTTGTCGGCAAGCAACTTTGGTCTAGGTGTGTTTGGTAAGGTGTAACGACTGGCTGCAGTGAAAGCCACTAGTAGTGAAGTGGAACACTATCAGCTTACTTAGCAGCACAACTAGTTCGTCTTCTATTCGCTTTCCTTATCAGCAACAGGTAGCATCGCGAAGTCCAACGAAATATCAATTGGTAAGTTGTATATTGGCGCCGACCATGATAAATACTAGTACCGTTATACTAAGTATCTCGAGTAAAAATTTCGATATCTTAACGATATGGTATGTGCACTTTTTTCGGCGTAGCACCAATAACCACGCCCACATACCTTATAACGGTAATTTAGAGAAATACGAAATCTTCGATAAATCAGTAAATACCGAAGCTAATTTAGTCAAAATTGATGTTTGCAATAATTCTTTGGCACAAATACGTTTATGATGAAATTTGGGAAATGGGCGTGGCACCGCCCACTTATGATCACATATATGTATCTCGGTAACCGTTCGATCAATATGTACCAAACTCGGTATGATTGTTGTACTTGCCACATAAAAGCAAAACGCTGAAAATAATCGAAATCGGACTTAAATTACGCGCACTTTTTATATAACGGTAAATTTCAGAAATGCTTGCAACTTCGATATTTTGAAATTTAAGGACGCTAATTTACACAAAATTGATACTTACCACAATCGCTCGAAAAGAAGCAGCATTATTATGGAATTTTGGATACCGCCCACATATAACTACATAGGTTTATCGAAGATGTTTGTTTGTTTGTCCGCCCCAACTTAGACTTTTTACTTGCTTTTTTTAATTCAACTTAATATTTCTATTAAAATTTTGTCCATTTAGTTTTTCAATAAAATTGTTATTTCTGTACTTTTTTAATTCACACCAGCGACCTGAGACCCAAAGGCGGTAGTCTTAATGCGTCACCTCGTTCTCGATTTGGGTTTGACAATTCAAAGGCAGATGTCGCGAATAGCATAACTGGTAAACTTCAGCATAAGCTTATACCAGTTAATGACCTGGTCACTTACTACCAGTTGCTCTACCGAAAGTTTTACTATTTGGTTTGCAATCTCACTGCAGGGGAAATACAAGCAGGAAATAGCTGAAGCATTTGATATGCAATGGCAGCCAGAACCCTCCAAACGCTGCAGCACAAACTTTGTTTATATAAAACAACAAATAACTACAACAAAAAAAGGACATAAAAAGGAAGAGAAATTCAATTAAACACTAACACGCGTCGCAGCTCTGTTTAACTTACGAGCATTTCTTTGATGACTTAATGATTTTGTGCCTTTTGAAACCACCAGAGTCTTACGTATGTACGCTGACAAACAAATCTGTATGTATGTATGTATGTACATCTGCTGAAAGTTAAGAAATTAAGTTACTAAGATATTATTATTATTATTATACAGACGACGTTTACACCGAATATGTACTCGTACAGTACAGCGACCTCAGCAGATAAAAAAAAAAAGCAGAGAAATCAGAAGAATATTCTATTGCATTAAATAATATAATAAAACTGTTAAGAGACGCTAGGCTAATACTAATTTTTGCCCAATAGCCTGTCTCCTAAATTGCATAGACAAAAGCGCCATGAATATTCACCTGAGCGAAGGCCCCTAATCTAATTGAACTCAATTATTTATTTACAAACTATTTAATTATGTATGTACAGCTACAAACATTTCGAGTGAAAATTAACTAAACTTACCGACACAGCGAATCATAATAAATATTCCACAGGATAAATTAAGATGTTCTTGCTCATCGAATTCGGTAGAATTTTAACAACTTCACATTTCCCCCTACGATAAGCTCCTAACCCCGGGTCGTCCCAGCACACATACTAAATATCAGCTTCCATAAAAAATGCTAACAATAGCTTGGCGGACGAATTCCTATTTAGGCATAGAAAGTGCGCTGGCGTCTTTTCGTCTGGACAAATACGGTATTCTCTTTCCACGGTCAGACGACCCCGATCAACCCGATTCTGGCTTTATTCAAAAAATGTATGTTATTTTCTACCGAAATTATAGCTAAAGGACCTGGTCTTTCTAAATGCTCTACACTTCGGCGTACTAACTGCGCTCCGACTTTACCCGCTTATTCCCAAAAGAGCAGATGATGAGATGATTCCCTATCCTGGCTGTCTGACAAAAATAACTAAGTATATATAAAGGCGCCACTCAAATCGAAATGGCCGACAGACTGTGGACCATCTGCTCATAAAATAGAAAGTCTAGTGTTAGGTACATAGACAAGCGCATCTGTACTTCCAACCAGTAGGACTTCAGTTCGATTACTGGAAGCCTCTCGGCACGCAATAGCAAACCTCTGAGTGTACTTCAGCCACGAATAAAGTTTCTAATAGTTTCTATTTACTGTTCGAAGTCCGGCATAAACTATAAGTCCATTCGCCCGACCAAAAACCTCTACTGCTCTAACAATTAGATATATTGAACAAGTTCCTCACTTTCGAGTGATGGTTGCTTTATTTAAAGCCTTTACCTCGTGTCACTGTCGTGGTATTAAAAAATAGCGGCTCCGTAGGCTCGGTCATTTCGTATGAATGGGGGCAAACGCTCCAGCCCTATAAGTGGTTCAACGCGGTATTCGCTGGTGGCTGCATAGGCCTCTGTGGCGTTCGAATGATTTGTAGAGAGACAGTGTCTGCTGAGTGGACCGACCGAGCAATGGTATAGAGTCTATGCTCTAATACCTGGACAGACCGCTAAGAGGCTATTGGCCCAGAGTTCCCCCATTAACTAAATCTTTAGGTAGGGTATAAGTATATGCATCCCTTGACCTGACGGCTGATAGTCTTATTAGGAAAAGATAAATTCATAGTTCTTCTTAAAGATTTATGGTTCATAATATAAATTTTAGTGGCTTTGCCCATCATTTCCGGAGCTCAGTCTTGTTCAGTAGAAACCTACATTTTTTTGTTTTTGGAGCCCATAAAACTTGGTATTCTTAAGATATGGTTAGATATCAAATTTTTAACGGTACTTACCTTTAAGGTAACACCGCCCAAGTCGTATTCCCGATTGAAGAGATCCTCCACGGTTGCGCGATACTTGTCTGTGTAGGTTTTGAAAAGAAAACGTTTGATGATGGAACTTTTGCCGACACCTGCGCCGCCCAGAATAACCAGCCTTATGCGCTCCAAATCAGCCATCTCGAACGCGGCTGGCAGTACAAATGTGCACGATGAAAGCAGAAGTTTAGCAAATGCAACAAGTGGCTACAGCTAATACCAGCGAGCGTGATAATATTTGATGATTGCTTGTTTTTTTTTATATATAAAATTTTCATTAACTGCCGGCTATTCACTTTATTACTGCGTAGCTTAAAATGACGTTTATGCTGACTTCTATGCGACAAAAGTCTCAAGTGAGGACTTACCAGGCTGATTTTAGTCCTTATAAAATTGGTTTTCTCTTCCAAGAGTTATTTATGTTAAACCATTTTCACCTCCTCGAAGTAATTTTTGCCTTTTCGTACTCGACATACAATTACAACCACTCCGCGATCAGCGCGATATATATATTTCAGTGTCCTCTTTAGCCAGCTCCTAATTTGAACGCTTTTTCATTGCTTTTTGTGGCACGTAGTAATTACAACTACACTAACTGGAACAGAAATAAGAAAATAGCCGCGTTGAAGGAGAATGGTGTAAGTAAGAATTGAAGGCGGCGCTCATTCACTAATTTGGCACGCGAGTAAATTTAATTATGATTTCGCATCCGTTAGCAAATAGCAATTGTGGAAGAGTGTGTGAGCTTGCTGTCAGTTAATTGTCCATTTCAGCTGTTTTTGTGGCGCCGCACACACGCTGGGTGCGTGCGCGGTAGTTGTGCAGCCAGCCGCAAGTCCTGCCTTCTCGCAAAGTCCGATCTGAGTTGTGAATTCTCTATTCTCTCTTATCGCCGAATGAGTTATTTATTTGATTTATGTGCTCACATTTGTTGCCTATTTTATTGATTATGCGTCTACTTTCAGTTTGCCATTTAAGGATGTCTTTAAGCGGTGCGTACGCTCCTCAAGAACGTTTTTATATCAAACAGTTAATCCGGTGTGCGTGAAGGTTTGCTAAAAAAAAGGTAAGAAAAAGGAAAAAAGTTGCTTAATTAAGCCATGCATACAAGTGTATGGACATATGTAAATGGCAACCAGACTAATAGCATCTGCGAATATGAATAAACTACAAATACAAGTACATATTTACTACAAAGTAACCATAAGTCTAACGTCCAAAGTCTACCTCAACCCCGATTAAAAATAATTAGAGCACAGAATGCTAATATTAATAACCAGAAGACGCTTGCGTGAATTCTCCACAGCCGCGCTAACCCACCGATGATAAGAGACCGCTGTGGAAATGTAGGGTTTCGTGCATTCGTGCAGGTCAAAAGAATGTAGCGGGAGAGGAGTGTGGTCACAAGAGATTGAGCCAAAGTTGAGCAAATGTTCGCAAAAGTAAAGCCAGTTCTGTCATGCGCTCTAATCAACAAGTCATTCACATATTTATAGGTTATTTCTGGTACTGTCGTAAACATTCAAAGCGCAAGGTATTTGATGAATTCATCACTACTTAGTGGACTTTGAAATAACAAAAAAAAATATTTTTTTCTTTTTCCTGTTTGGTGCTGGAAGGTTGGCTAACTATAAAGAGAGTCGTTGTTAACTCAGTGCCGTGACTAATAAACGGTATATCGAATGAAATATTTGTTTTCTTCAAAAATTACTTAATTACTTTGATTTAAGAAAATTCTAGATACATACAAACATACATATGTATTTAATTCGAAAATAATTGACACAGAATTTATAGCTACGCCGAAGGCATCAAAACTTGCAAATTCAGATACACAACTACACTAATGTATTTTTAAATACTTATTTATCTATAATTGAGATAAGCCTAAATCTATTTGCAAAAGTTTCCATCCGCCGCACAAACTGAAGTGAAGTCACACATTCATGCATTCATTCATTCATTCAGTCTACTAAATAATTGACTATGTTTCCAACTCTTCGCATCGCTCTTCGCTCAGAGCTGTAAACTCTGCATTCACCCTATTATTTCTCTAAATATTTATCTTTAATCAATTTAATGATTGCCTCGTCCTCCCCCACCTGCCATACAAAGAATGGATTATAAGTATTTATATGAGGATAAATGTGTATGGTAAGTCCACTGATTTACCTTGAAATTATTAGAAGGCTCACCTTTGCGCGAATGAATGAAGGCATCGCATTTGGAAATAAGGAAGGGAGATCAAACAGAAATTATGAAAAATGTTAAGCAGTAACCCAAAACCGTACAATTTGTATCTATGTATATGGAGGATGGATTGGTGAGCTATAATTTAAGGGCAGTTTGCATAGGTCTGAACTCCTCAAACACAAATTTATCGACTATTTGTGTATTGAATTGGTTCAATGCTCTGATGGAATACTGACATGGTTTTCATCTTTTAGCAAAAAATTAGAATTAGTTAAAATATTGCCGACGTTCCTCTTGAACAGCTTTAATTAACGAGGAGAAAGTTTGCACCGTCGCATCAAAAAATTTACCGACTTTTGATATGTATTGTTTAGGTACAATTAGTTAGAGCGAATATGTATATATGTACATTAGGGTGGTCCTTAAACGTAAGAAGCAAATTTTAACATCAGATTTCCTAAACCACAACCCCTACGTCGATGCCACTATAGTCGAAGATATCACATATACATTTTAGTCCCGTTTGGAGGCGGATAGGGCTTGCCGACCGGGGTCAAAGTTCAGATTCCTCTATGGAGGCTCAAAAAAATTAAGATTAATTTTTTCGTCTAATACCAATTGAAGTCGGTTAAGGCGTGTCGCACAAGTTCAGATTACCCTATGAAGCCGTCTTAACCGACTCGAATCGGGAATGTGATATTCTCGACTTTGGTAGTATCGGTTTTGGCTATTAAATGAAAAATATATACAGTGTTATCTGGCTGGAGTGAACACCCGATGCTACGAACACCTCGAAAGAGTGAACATGAAAATTTTTCCATTGAGTACTCTATAGAGTGAACAATTTTGAGTCTTTGTAGAGTGAACAAAATTTAAAACCAATTCCTTCCAAATTCAAAACTGTAACGACAAATTTAATGACAAAAAGGTTAATCCCTTCGCCAGGCCGACCCCGTAAATCCCCGTATCAGGGATCTCAACTCGGAGATTCGGCAACTAGTGAACGTACATAAGCGGAAGAAGTGGGAAGACCATCTGAAGACCTGTCACTTCGCCTCTGGTGTGAGCAAGCCTTGGTCAACCGTGAGGTGATTGTCCACCGGGGAAACCGTCCAACAAAGGAGAGTCTTCTCGCCCGATAGCTCACCTTTCCCCGGTAGCGAAGACACTAGAGGCCCTTCTACTTCCGCACTACACAAATCACTGGACCCCAGCGAAGCATAAGCATGGGTTCCGTAAAGTGCACAGCACAACAACAGCACTTGACGCCATAAACTCCCAAATAATTCGTGGCCTTAACCGAAACCCCCCATGTGAGAGAACTATTCAAGTAACGCTACTAGAAAACAAACGGTGGACTGCGAAATACCTGAGTGGTCGTCAGTGATCTTTGGAGACAAATCGATCAAACCTAGGAAAATGAAGCAGCGAGTTCAACAGGGTGGTGCCCTTTCCCCACTACTGTTCAACTTTTACATTTCTAAGCTCCCTCAACCACCAGAGGTAGTCTCGATTGTCTCTTATGCTGACGTTTGCTCGATAATGGTTATTTCACCGAGCTTTCTCGCTTCGTCACTGCACGGAGCCTAACACTCTCCCCTACAAAATCCTCAGCAACGCTTTTCACCACTTCGACGAAAGAGGTCAGACTGCAACTGGGTATTCTCGTCGATGACGAGCCAATTCCGACGTTGAATAACCCGAAGATCCTCAGAGTAACCTTCAAAAGTCTGCTCTCTTTCTCGGCGCATACAACCGCAATTGTCAATAAAGTACAAAGCCGCAACAAGGTCCTCAAGTCGCTTGCCGGCAGCACGTGGGGCAAAGACAAAGAAACGTTGCTGGCAACGTACAAGGCAATTGGCCGCCCGGTTCTGAACTATGCAACGCCTGTGTCGCTATCGGGGACTAGTAGGACGCAGTGGATGAAACTGCAGACTTGCTAAAACACGGCACTCAGACAGCGACAGGATGCCTTCTGATGTTGCCGAAACACCACCAGCGCAACGAGGCCAATATGCTCCCGATTAAGGAGCATAACACAATGCTCTGCAAGCAATTCCTAGTAGGGTGTCACCCGGGTGTTAGGTACCCGAACAGACATCTGCTTGCGGAAGAACCATCGCGACGGCACGTTAGAAGGCCGTCTGCCTCGGGAGACTCGGACCCCATAGCCCAACTTCGATCGGGCTACTGCAGCAGGTTGAACTCATACTTGAGCAGAATAAATGCTGATGTGCCAAATGAATTCCCCGCATTCGGAGAAAAGCCCCATGACTCGCAGCATCTCTTCACATGCCCACTAAACCCCACCCTGCTAACGCCTCTGGCCTTATGGACAGACCCCATCGAGGCTGCACGCTTCCTGGGTCTACCGCTAATAGAGCTTGACGACAACGATACAACATCCACCGGAAACATGTGTTGGCATTAGCTGAGGGAAAAGACGACATTTCCGAGTACTTAAAAATTTAACTTCAAACGACGTACTGCGCAATAAAATTGATTTTAAAGAACAAAAAAACTCAATCTGGATATAGTGAACAATCTGCATTTTATGAACTGGTCTTGCATTAATTAGTTCACTCGACCCAGATAGCACTGTATATATATTTTTTTAATTTTTTGAGCCCATAGAGGCATCTGGTTTTTGACCCCTTTGCGACACGCCTTAACCGTTACCAATCGGGACCAAAAATTACATGTGATTTATGTGTTTAACCGATTGAGGGGGTGTGACTAAAAAAAATAGTTCATTTGATTTTTTAAGGACCCTCCTAATGTGCATACATATGTTAGGGCAGATCAATTTGTATGGAATGATTTTTTCGACATTGTTCCTAATTCGTATTCTACATAGAATTCTATGAAAAAAAGCCTATTAGACCATAGCACCCAATTTCGAGCCTGTGAAATATTAAAAGAAGCAGTCTTTAATTAATACAAAGTTAATATGTAGATTAATATTTACTAAAGTGTTACGAATGTATTTTTCTTTTTAACAAGTACTTTTACTTGGGATTTGTTTAAAGGAAGAATTAATTTTTCCCATCT